TTCACGCAAGTGAGGAAATTTCTCTGATCGCCATTTACTTGGGAGTGTCCAGAAAAGATGGCTTTATATAGTATATGGCTCAAGCAGCTCATGACTTCCGGTCTTAAGCCAGTATCCTCTGGGTAGCCAAAGAACATTCGTTTGAAGGCGAACTAAACTGAGAAGGCGAATCCGCCACATAAACAACACCTCCAATGAAAACTAATCGACAGTCTCAAATGAGAGACCCTCTTTTGATGATGACCATTGCAAACGCATTAGGTATTACGCTTTAAGGGCATGCATCTGGAATGTCCGGTTCGTTATTTGGARAGGTGCCGCTGCCCAGCTGGTTGATTTCCTCGTGACATAAGGCTGACATCTCGCCGTCTAAGAAGTAAGAGGGACGGGGCAAGGACTGAGACGAGTAGGTCCTTGTGGCATTCACTACAATGGCCGTATAAAGATTTGCAATATCTAAGTGTGAAATGAAGGGCTTGCAAATCTTGCCCGCAGGGGTTTTTTGCTCCAGAATACAACGAAAAGATGTGGCGATTAACAGAAGATTTCAAGACCGAAGCGTAGTTTTGTAAAATCTCCAGAAGTGATCTAGTAACCGATGCCCAGAACATAGTAAAATTATGGAGGGAACACTTCTTCAGTCTGCTGAATGGCAGTGAAAGCATAACATCAGGAGTTGGCGAATCCATTTCCCAAATCGAAAGCAAAGGTCCGAAAAGTAATTAAACCGAGCTATTCATCCACTGTGTCACTGTTGACAGGTGAAATCTTGAAACCAGCATTAACAYCAACAACCACGTCAGCCTCGAAATCCAACGCAGAATATCTTTTGCCAGCAGGTGCTACTTCGGACTAAGTACTTAGGCAATTGAGAAGTAAAGTTCTTCTCCTATATGGTGCAGATTCATGGACGATGACAACATCTGATTAGTTGACGTTACGAGTTTTCGAGAGAAAGGTTCTGCGAAAGATGTATGATCTTTTGCGCATTGCCCACGGCGAATATCGTATTAGATGGAACAATGAGCTGTATGAGACGCCACGTTGCAAAAAGAAAAAACTACTGGCGCGCTGTTGTTAATTCAACTACAACCATGTAAGCGGTTTCTACACAGGTAAAAAAGAGAAGGAGAAGAAGAAGAAGATATAGGAATGTGAAAATAATGCCGCGTACAGCTCGTACAGTATTCCAAGTTCCATCAGGATATCTAATTTTTTACTCCAGTTGCACGGACGGACGACACTCAGTCACCTAGATTTCAACTTTTCCCGTCATCGTGATCGTTTATATGCATATATAAGCGTATATCTATCTCTCTTAGTTTTGGATGTACAAAACTATTATCTTCTGTAGCAACAGGTTGCAAGAGTATAAAAATGTTGCGAAAAAATACGACATTCATAATTCGTGTATATATTATAATCAAAATTTGGTTTATTATTTAGTTATATTATAGGTCATTTAGTTTAATAAATATATTTTACTTCTCCTAAGCGAAAATCATCCTCAAATGATATATATCTAACATAACCCTAAACGAAAAGTATAAAGTTAATGTATTGTTTTGATATGAAAAACATCAACCAGAAGATCTCAATTGATGATATTGGCCATGTACGTATATATTGTATGCGGTATAAGGTCAACCGGAAGTTTAAAAATCGTTTAATATGTATATGGGAGATAGGTGTAGTATTGTTTCAATTTTATCTGCTTTTATTATTCCAATAAAATCTCTGAGTTCCATTCATCAACAATATATGATGTTTGAAAATATAGATATTTTATGGGATTTAGTGAGTGTTTTATCCGAATTAATCCAATTTATTAACATATAAATTTCGTTGTGAGAAAAATAAATAAATTAAATTTAATTAGATAATTTACATATTGGTCATACTGTTCTCAGGAAAGAAATCTCCCCTAATTTCTATTAGATATCGCACACATTACCCGATATTTTTGGTGAGATCCATATTTCCAGTTCCAGTTGGGAACTTAAATAGTTATAGTTCGATTTGGACAATTTTTAGTTATAAAGTGTCATAACRCAAAGGCAATATTCGTACAAAGAGTTGTCAGGCTATATTGATTAGTTCTTGATATGTATAAAAGAAAGAGAATAAGACAGATGAAATTTAAAGTTGTGGGAAGAAGCTCTGGTTCTTATCCAATTCGTTGTAACGTGGGAATATGAAACTATTCTCTTTACTAATTTATTGAAATTGTTAAGGTATGTACGGAGATATGTATGTTATTTGACACACCCTCTGCCCATTTTTGTTACCGCTCTTATAAAACCCTCTGGTATCATACTGGTTGTGAAAAATCATGTATCTGGCATTTATTGATTTATCGCATTTTAATAGGTAGTATGGGGAAGTGATGTTGGTTTTCATCCGATTTCACCTATTTTCACGCTGTAGCAAGAGCTTTTGAAATCGTTTGTGAAAATTTGTGTGGTATAGCTTGAATGGTTTGGGAGATATATACCACACATAAAACCTATTAGGGCGCCAACTTACTAAAAATTTTAAACCACAGATGCTTCTCATTAATGTAATTCGTTGTCAAGTTTTGCACCATAATTTTCGGCTTAGTTATGGCAGTTGGCAGGTTATGCCTATCTACGACTCGTCCTTACTCTTTAGCCAAGAAACACATGTGCCAAGATTCAATACAATATATAAATTTTTACTCAAGTTATGACAACATGTTGCAAGCTAAAACACCCTGCAATCATACTATTGGACGTCCTTCACGGGAATGGTCTTCAATGCTGGTACGCCCACGTTTAAATTCAACAACCCAACAACAACTGTTCAAATTGTAAATGAATAATCATTATATGCTTTAAATATTCGATCGTGAATTTCTTTTGGTGCTACACCTTTCAAAACTAAGAATTTTATCACTGCACGATATTAAATTTTTTCCATTGTAAAAAATACTGTGACACGGGGACACTAAATGGCTTGTAAACAAAGAATGAATTAACAGATTAAAATAAAACTTCACATATGTTCATATGAAGAGTGTACCAAAAAACAACAAAAGTTTGGGCTAGTAGCAAAGCCATCTCTTATCGAACGACAAAACTTATTGAACAACCTGGTAATAATCGATATTCTCCATAAAAAGTTAACAATTATTACTGGAGTCCACAGCTTTAAAAGCTGTAGTTCGATTTTGACAATTGATCATAAGTTCTCACACTTTAAAGATAGTAAAAATTTTAATCCCTATATTTTCTTTGGTACTTCCTTTGTAAAGTATAATGGAAACTGAAACGATCAGATGGATTTTAAAATTATGGAAAAATAGAAAGTAGGCATGGTCGTGACCCGACTGTGTTATCAGTAGAATGCCATTCTTGTCAGTAGAATGTAACGTGGAACTTAGTTATAGAAACTTATATGTTCTCTATTCCATTCGTCTTCTGAGTGTGGTAATGAGCCCATTCGGTTCATTTTCAATACCGTGGCATCATTCTGTACCAAGTTTAAACAGTTTTTAAAAGTTACATCTTGCACTGTTGGACGGACGGACAGAAAGTCCCCAGATTTAAACTCGCCTGATCATCTTGATCATCTATACCTATTTATATATACCTATATATAATAATAAGCTATTCGAATGCKAGAAAAAACAAACCTTTTATCAATGTTCGAACCCGCGCATTCGAATATGTGTCATATGTCTTATGTATGTGTCTTTCATACAAATATACCATACATATACCGTAGAGATTTATAATGGGGTTCATGATATGCGACAAATAGGCGAAAAAATTGAAAGAACAAAGAAGGAGCTTCGCCTTAAAAATATTTTCAAGGAATATACGGGTACAGAACTGTTTCATTATTATAAGAGACTGTCTTCCTCGTGCTTAGTTTGTAGGGAAGACCTTAATGGAAGAAAAGTTATACGTTTTGTATTCACTCTCGATTAGAATAAAACTTTCGTTTCTTACATATATCATTGTCTATAGACATTTTTATATTCCGAACATATTTCTGAATCTATACATATGTACATATATTGTGGCACCCGTTAAGAATTTACTATGAACATGAACGAGCAATTACATATGAATAGGGGAATACATATTTACAAATATACTATACATATATTCGTATATATATATATATGTATATTATATGCATCTTTACACAAATGTTTTAATCGTAACGATATATCTCCCATACCGTCATATCAAGCATGGAAAACTCATATATCTTTTATTACCCTGATTTTTTTTGTTTCGCCAACATATTTCGCTTTAATGTTACTATTCGTTCTTTAAAGATTAGCTGTTGTTGTTTCATTCGGTTTCGCTTTTTCCCTTCTTTACTTGTGCATTTGTTGTTTAATGCGGGTGTTTCATGTGAACCAAGTTCAATGAAATGAACGACAGCGTTCTTATACGACCGGGCCAGTTCACCCCAAATGTATTTTTTTTATCAATTTCTGATATACCTAGAAGCTTTTTGTATTCAGCTACATATATACAACTTTCAGTAGATGTATGTACACACCCTTACATTCATCAAATTGTGAGAGTAAAAAAATAAAATTAATAATAAGAAACACCACCAGCACAATACAACTCTGAAAGAGCCAATGTGTCCAACATTTTTGAACAAGGTGTAAACGTTGCACCCATACGTGCGAAGTCTCATCTTTAAATCTTCTCAAAAATATTGTCCTCATATTTGATAACGATGTCTCTTACTATAACAATAACGACGGCTATGCAAGTGAGAGAAACGAGCTATTGGTTAAATATCAAACAACTATGGTGTATGTTGAATAATCRTACGAATAGTTTTTATTGTAATGTCTTTGATGCTTTCGTTTCCCTTTTTATTCGCGTTTGTCGATTCTCATTCGCTCGTTTTCGTGAACATTAATGTTTTGTATCTTGTTTCGGCAACTTTTGTTGCTTCTGCTGGTTACCACCGCCGCCATACTCTTCGTAGTAGTATTACTGGTGCGCGACCCTTCACCGCTGTCGGTGAGCGTTCGCTGCAATACACATCCAAGCATATGAGTGTTTTTCATCGAAGATGAACTGAACAAAAGAGCAGTAAAGATATTCGTTTTCTGGACATTTTTCGCCGATAGGTTGAGGCGAATGAGTCCTGTCGCTGTTGCTGCTTTTCTATTGTGTCCTCGGCTGCCGAACTCGGTTTGTTTGATAATATCTGCGCTTCGAGAAAGTCAAAGCTTTCCAGCCAGCCGCAAATATAGCATGAACTCTAGTGAACTTAGCCAATCTAAGCGGTCGCGCTGAATTTTCGTTGAAGAAATATTGAAATAGTTAAAAGAAAATGTTTGTGAAATTTCAAAAGCATCATATTTAAAGAAAATTCTTAAGTGCTACCAATATTTGGTTATTATTTTGATAATATTTTAATTAATATGTGGCTAATTTCCAATGAACTAAACTTATTTATTCACAATTGCAATGTGCTCATGCTTTCTTTTGATTAATGATTGTCTGGTGTCGTGGGGCAATGCCGATTACCATTTAAATATCGTGAAACAAAAACATATTTTGAACATCAAAGAAATTCAATTTTAGATTTTACTGTTCAAAGTTTTTAAAATTGCAGATAAAACAAAAAAAAAAAAAAATAAAATAATAAAATAACATAACTGTAAAAGTTAAACTTTACGTTTTGCGGCGGAAGTTTGAAGCGGAACATTTTTATTCTTTACCGATTAAAAATGTACGCTTGTAATTTAAATTTTGATCTTTGTTTATAATATAGTACAAAATAAGTAAATTTTCTGGCAAATATACTGAAAGAGTTATAAAAAAAATAAATACAGTAATGAAAATACCATGTATAAATGTTTGCAATTAAATACGAAAAATCTACATAATCCAAAGCTTTGTTTAAGGTGAGTACTGCGCGAACTGTTAAATTTTTGATTATTCTAGTCTATCCAGAGAATATCATTGGCTACATTTCTTTTGTTCGAAAATTTAAAAACGTGCATATTTGATACTGTATAATATTTTTTTTTAAATATTATTTTGAAGTGATTTAAAATTAACATATCGTGAACAATATTAAAAAATACCACTGAAGACATAAAAATATGTCAATGAAATATCATAGGGCTTTTTTTTTTTTTTTAAATAAAAACGAACGCGGATCTTCTGTTAAATGCTATCTGAGCAAAATTCAATTTTACATAATTCTTATATACGTTTAAGCTTTAAAAATTCCTATATAATTTTAACCTTCCAACGATATAGGACAAAGAATCCTTTAGGTGATTGTTCTACAAATTTTAAAAAATTCAAGCAAGCGCTTTTAGGGTTTCGGCATTCTCTATATCTACATATTTGGTAATCTAAAAAGCAGACAAATATGWGGAAATCATGAAATTATCAGGGCTCCTCAGTGGTCTTATGGTGTTTGCGCTTACCATTTATGTAGTTCATCAGTAACTCCCAAATCGTCAGCTCGATAGTAAGATAAAAATAACGTATCGACTCACTGTCGTTAATAGTCAATTAAAAAGTTTTATTTTAAATCCATCAGGTAATACAACGTTTTTCAAATATTTAAATACAACATTATGTTGGCTTATTATTTCACAACTGACTGGAACCCACAACTCTGCAATCAAATTTTTTATATAATTTATATATTTTGATTTCTATCGCTCCAATTCAATGTGTTTCAGGTGTTTCGGATGCCCATAAGGAATGTATACAATATTGTTGCTCACAATGCATACTAATTATAACTCAGCTTTCACAGTAAGCAAGTACTGCCATTTATGATCTGATAGTAACGAGCATTTAGTTATTATTAATATACCCGGCAGACAACAATATGCAATTTAATTAAGGGTCAGTAGGGTAATCTTTTTTAATTTTTTTTTTTTGCATTTTCCTTATTATCACTGGAAGGTTTCAGGTTTCAAAAAGGCCCAAAAATAATAATATATGACATCAAAAAAATTCAGAAAAAACATTTTTATATACTCCACGATATACCTCATGATATGTGAAAAAAGTACTATTGTAGAATAAAAATTTCTTTGAAAAACAAAATGTTAAAAAACAGGCCAGATTACCCTACTGACCCCTTAAATAAAATAAAACATCGTGCAAACAGATATAACAATTATAATATTTTTACTAAATGGAAAATTTTATTATATAGTGACTTTTAACGAAAACTTTGGTGAACTGCCTTACCATGCGATTCTGTACTGAGATCTGAGTATCAAGTCTCCAAATTTGAGATTTTAAGTTAGAGACAATTTTTGAGACTTGAAACGACTTTGCTATTCTGTAAGTGACAGTCACAAAATCTATTACATTTCATTATTCACAGATGTTTTTATACTTGAATGAAAATAAAATTGTCGATAACAAATATTAAATTTTCTATAACATAGTCAAAAAACATAATTATCAATATATATTCAAAATGACAAACAAGAGTTCTTTTGGGTTTTGTGACCTGCTAACTACCAGGTCTCAAATTTGAGGCAATATTTTGAGACTAAAGCTAGAGACTCTTTAGTAACTAGTCACAAATTGAGATTTTTCCTCAAAATGTCTCAAATACAGAATCCCGCTATTAGTTTAGTTGTAAGAATTGAAAAATGGATAAAACCATCCTCACGTCAAAAAAAAAAAGACGAAATCGGACCATAACACTTCAAGTTCTAAAATACCAATATATTCAGAGGCTAAGGCAGACTTTTGCATAAAATATCGGTCAATCAATGAAGTACCTTGTTTGTAACTTTTTTTAAATAATGTGAGATGTCCAAAAGTTTAAAACACGGCCTCTTGATGTTCTAYCTTATATGTGAACTTAATAAAACTAAGACATTATATTTTAATAGCAATGGCACTAGTATATCATAATGTCAAAATGGATAAAATCGGATAAATACTTCCCCATACCCAAATATATCCAATAGAATGATTTTCGAATTTCTAGTTGCTTAGAGAATGTATATTTTTCTTTATTACATATGTGTATGATAAGTTAGAGCTAACCAGCTTAATTTTAATACCAATATCTCAGATATGAAGCAAAATATAGTAATGTCTGTGACATATATTGTAGTTTTACTGTTATCCATTCACCCTTTCGTCGAATAAATAATGTTGAATTCTTTAGCAACATATTTTCATATAAAGTACTGCCAAGATATATAGTAAGTATTTCCTCGGTTTTCATACTTGCGTGAGTACAAAATACTCGTATGCACTCGAACTCAGCCCGTCATTACTTATTTTAGATTGCATAAGTTTAGAATAAACGTAAGCAGGTCGGAACGTAATACGTACTACAATATGTTTGAAAATTTTAGAAAGAGAGGATATGTGCGCTGTTTGAGACAATTATGAGAATGCCATTTTAGATTTGCTTACGCATTCTAAATAAACACTGTATAAATATTTTGTAGAAAAATAAGTAGAAGATCAGAATGACGCAAAACAAAGGCACATTCAATTAGCATTTATAACGTAGACTTCCTGTGGCAAAAAATTATTTATCCTAAAACTCATACAATATCTTTTATCCAGAACATTGACGGTCAAACTCTAACAACTAGTATACAAAGAAAATACCAAGTAAGAAACGTGCAGCAGAGAGGTAGAGAAGTACGCCGGGATCTTCTCCGAATCCATACTAAAAATTTCTTAACCGATAACAAAACATCAAAAATTTACATATAAGCGTCACATATTTTTGGTAAGTTTTCTTTGGAAGACCCTCTGTATATCTTTTTGAAAACCTTTGAATTTTTGTTGCTTTTGTGGAAAATCGAATGTGCGAAAGGGTAAGAATTGTGCGTTGCATCATACACACAGCATGCGGCCACAACAAGCAAATAGAGCCCCTACTATTTTAAATGTTGTGGCACCAACATACTGTGAAAAAAATTAAGAATTCTTGGTACTTAGTTACGCTCCAATTAGAATTAGCCAAAAGGGGTATGCCTGATTTTTTACGGTTAAACCCTTAGAGATAGGTTTGAAACATATTTTAGAGAAAAAAAAGTGTAGAAATGATATCCAGTGCAACAAATCATTGTTTTACATTCGAAATTTCAAGGGTTAAAGACGCGAAAGACACGACTTTCAATCATAATAGTAAGGAAAGGCAAACTTCGTGAAWAGATTGCAATCAAATTTCGCATATTATTAATGAAACAAAATTGTCTTTAGGGAAATTTAGGCAATTAATTTATTATAGAATTACAGGTATTGGTCAACAGGACCCRTTTAAAATGAGCTGACCGAACATGYTTCCTCGCAAATGTGTTGGAGTATTGAAAGCTACTTTATGTTGGGTATTTTAGCTGCGATAATTTCCTGATAGTTTTCACACATTATAAGATGGCTTAATTAATGTAAGATATCTGACATATTGACCAATACATAGAATATAAAACCAACAAAAAGTTTGAATTTCTTATATTAGGTGCAAGGCGGCTAATATTACTAGCCAGATGTTATCTATTTATGGTATCACGATATACTGTTACCCGGAAAGGATGACCTCTGAGTTTAGATATGAAATTTATTGCTAATAGCAATATTTAGTGAGTTAACCGACTTTTGGTAGTTCTCCACATAATTTTTATATGAGAGTGAATATTTCAAGCGTTTTTACACCGTCAGAAGAGATTGCAGATCACCAACACAGCAACTTTTGAGAATAGAAGTAATCTGATTTCGCCTATCTTCGATACCAATTTTTATATGGCGCTAAAGTTCATCCCGATCATTTATTTATGTATATGTAGTTRTTTATATACACATGTATGTATATACATTGTGATACCATCATCTGTAAAAATTACAGTGAATATATTCTTTTCCTTCAAAAGACCTACTTTAACTTCACAGCTTATTCCATAAGAGTTTGAAATACAAAGTCTTGCCTTATCCTAAAAAGAATTATATTTACTGTTACACTCATATGACGACTTTTTTCAGTAATTATATTTGCATGTTTCGCGGTTGAAGAGTTTATTTGGCTTCGGCCAATGCCAAAAATTCCTAAATAATATCACTTCACAACGTTGACGTCAACCAGGCTTTTACAATAGCAAAATTATTATGTACACTTTTTAAACGTGTCTGTAGCATTACACAAAAATGGGAGAATAAATTGATATGTTTGTATTTTCCACCAACCTAATTCGTAAATTCCTTTACTTCGCCATGAATTTTTTAAATTTAATACCTTAGCGTTGGCGCCACCTCCATAACCAGCTTTGTACAGGATCCAAATCACCTTTAAAACTTTTGACGATAATGGAGCATTTCTTATTCGCTGTTGATTCAATCAATGTATATTTTGCACATGAAAAACATTTTTTCTGCATCTTTAAAAAATAAAAATATTGCGTTGATCTGCAATGTTTAGATACTTGTGAGTATTTAATCTTTTGTAGGCCATTATACAAGTAAAGACTTTTCGATCACGATCGCCCATAAAAAATGTTTACTTTTAAAATGTTTTATACAAAGCAGTTGCAGTTGCGACCATATATAAAAATTATCTACATATGATACATACAAACAACTTTTTGTGCTGCCAACTAAAGTATGTATGTTACCTTCAAAACAAACTAAACTTGTTCAAAATCTCAGATCTGTTAAATGGATGAGTTGTTATGCGGCATTGCGACTAAACGTTGAAAACTCCTTTTGTAAACAGTATTTTGCGAAATTGTGCACGTGAGGAAAGTTCTTCTTCCTTACTAGCGAACACACCGCTTATAGCCGGCTTAACAACAGCGCGAGTCATTTCTTCTTTTGCAACGTGCCGCCAAATGGAAATTCCAAGTGAAGGCAGGTCCTTCTACTCAGTCCAAAGTAGAACCTGTTGGGCAAAAGTTACTCTGTA